AATTAGGCAGCTTTAAAATGACTGTGATACTCAGCTCCTTCTAGACATTTACTGGTGTGGTTACAAACATGGTGAAGGCAAGAGAATGGTCCAGGAAGACAAGAGAAGAGGTGATTTCTCTCTTCACAGGAAGGGGCAATGGCTATAAGAAGATTGCAAAGATGTTAAACATACCAAGAGACACCTTAGGAAGCATCATTCGCAAATTCAAGGCAAAGGGCACTGTTGAAACGCTACCTGGTCGTGGCAGAAAGAAGATGCTGACTTCGACTGCTGTGCGCTACCTGAAGCGTAGAGTGTGGAGAGAAGTCCCCGTGTGACTGCTGAGGAACTGAGAAAAGATTTGTCAGATGTGGGTACAGAAGTTTCAGCCCAGACAATAAGACGCACACTGCGTAATGAAGGCCTCCGTGCCAGAACTCCCAGGCGTACCCCCCTTGCTGTCTCCAAAGAATAAGAAGAGTCGACTGCAGTATGCCAAAAGCCATGTGGACAAACCACAAAAGTTGTGGGATAGTGTTCTGTGGACTGATGAAACAAAATTAGAACTGTTTGGGCCCATGCTTGGGGCCAACGCTATGGATCAACGCTAGTTTGGAGAGGAAGAACAAGGCCTATGATGAAAAGAACACCTTGCCTACTGTGAAGCATGGTGGAGGGTCAATCATGCTTTGGGGCTGTTTTGCTTCTGCAGGTACAGGGAAGCTTCAGCGTGTGCAAGGTACCATGAATTCTCTTCAGTACCAGGAGATATTGGATGGAAACGTGATGCAGTCCGTCACACACCTGAGGCTTGGGGAGACGTTGGACCTTTCAACAGGACAATGATCCCAAGCATACCTCCAAGTCCACTAGAGCATGGTTGCAGAGGAAAGGCTGGAACATTTTGGAGTGGCCATCGCAGTCACCAGACTTAAATCCGATCGCAACCTCTGATGGGACTGAATATTTGGCCGATTGTCACCAGAAAAGAACCTCTGGTGGGACTTAAAGAAAGCAGTTGCAGTGCGCAAGCCTAAGAATGTGACTGAACTGGAGGCCTTTGCCCATGAAGAATGGGCGAAGATACCCGTAGATCGCTGCAAGACACTTGTGTCAAGCTATGCTTCACGTTTAAAAGCTGTTATAACTGTAAAAGGATGCTGTACTAAGTACTAAGATTTGAATGTCACTTGGGGGTTGAATAAAACTGATAATGCTGTGAGCACAGAAAAGACATTTGTGGTTATTTCATTATAACTGTTATGTTATATATTGTCTGACCTACAAGTGCCTCTTTAATGTAAATGTAAGCAAGATGACTGAATGATCAAAAGCAATGTCAAACTGGCCAAAACACTCAATTTCAGTGGGGGTTGAATAATTTTGGACACAACTGTACCTGCAGCTTCTTTAATGTTGCTGTAGGCCTCTTGGCAGCCTCCCACACCAGTTTTATTGTCTTTTCATCAATTTTAGAGGGATGTCCAGTTCATGGTAATGTCACTGTTGCACCATATTTTCTCCACTTGATGACTGCCTTCACTGTGTTCCATGGTACATCTAATGCCTTGGAAATTCTTTTGTACCCTTCTACTAACGGATACCTTTTAATAACGAGATCCCGCTTTGGATGCTCTCTGCAGACCATGGCTTTTGCTGTAGGATGCGACTAAGAAAATGTCAGGAAAGACCTACTAGAACATCTGAACTTTATTTTGGGTTAATCATAGGCACTCTAAATGATGGCAGGTGTGTACTGACTCCTATTTAACATGATTGCTTAATTCTGGGCACAGCTACATCCCCAGTTATAAGAGGGTGTGCACACTTAAGCAACCACATTATTTTGGGTTTTTTTAGGTTTACTCCTACCCCCCTAAAAGATTTTAGTTTGTTTTTTTAATTGAGTTGTACAGTTTATAGGTCACATTTATAGGTCACATAAGTGGAAAAAGGTCTGAAATTCTTTAATCACAGAAATCTGACATTTTAACAGGGGTGTGTAGACTTTATATTCACTCTATAATACAAAGAAATGGTCTATAATTATTAAATGAGCACACTTACAAAATCTGCAGGGGACCAAATAATTATTCTCCCCAATGTACAATTCACATCTACCAGGCTGTATCTGTCTAAATATCAATAAACTATTTGCCATCTTTAACAAAAAAAAAAAAAAAAAAAAATCAATAACCAGATAGAATATGGTCTTGCAGTGCTCTTCCTAGAGTCTCAGACACAACGGTCTACTAAAAACTTGCCTCCAGGAAGGACTGTATAAAAACAGACAGGAGAGGCTACCATTTAGGCCGCTGTGAAGCGCAGCAGCAGTGAAAGGAACTTCTGTTCAGTACACCTGAACCTAGCTATCAAACGGTAGATGATAGTTGTAGTTCTCCCATTCATAGAAGTTTGGGAATAAATAAGACGGCCGGGTGGATGGAGCCTCACACAGTCATGTTTTTTAATGGAGCCTCACACAGTCATGTTTTTTAAAAACCAGGTAGAACATGTAACATGCTCCCAAAGGTGACCTTATCCTTTAACATTGCATGACTAAGAACGGAAGCATAGTACAACCAGATGTTTCCAAACTGAAAAAGGTCAAATGTGGACCTAAACCTACACACTACTACACAAGAGATTACAATAGTAGAGAAGAAAAAAAAAAAAATGGGAAAAATATAGTACTCTATAGTCTAAAAACCACATTACCTACTTTCTCAAGCTCCAGAGGAAGCCATCCAGCGCTAGGGATATCTTTCCCACTTGTGTGATCTACGTGACCTTCTTGATCAACATTTGCGTAGTAAGCTGTGTCAAAAATCAAAACCATAATATTAAACATAGCTGAAGTACCTTTTCAGTATTACTGTTACAAAGACATGCATATTTGTCAGGGTATCAGATAGCTAATAGCAAATAACATCACTTCATTTAAAACATCGAGAGAATCAAAGCAAAGACAAAATGGTATCCTCAGATGCCTGCAAAGTAAACATACTTTGGCCGGTTGTTTAACTTCCCAAAACCACAAAACCCTTGGTATGCAAATACAGACTTATTCACAGAGTCAATGGCCAGCCTGCCCTCTACAATTGGCTACCTGAACCCTGCCAATCATGATCAACCAATAGCTATGGGTGGGAGGCAAAAGGATGAAAGCTTCACTGCCATCGCTAGGTCACTAAAATGTTTGAATGTGAAGGTTTACTATAAGGTGATGGTTTCAAGTAACAATTTTCTTACAGTCACAACAGGGTCCAGAAATCAATGGAGAGTACAGTGCTTTCTGCCACCAGCACTGTTTTTCCTTTGCAGCGTTAACTCCCTGAAGATTGATGCTTAAAGGAGGATACTGAAAAATGAACAAAAAAAAAAAACAAAAAAACAAAAAAAAAAACACATCACCACCACATAGCATCTATAAAATTACATTTTGTTAAATATTAGAAGATCACTGGGTGCAATAAGAACATGATCTGCAGATATCCAAAGCAAGAAAGCTAAATTCTAAGACTCTTACAAATGTAGCTAAACTCCATTTCAAACTATTACAAAAAATAAAAGCCCTGGTCACTATTTGCCACTCTGTGCCCCCTTTCTGATTTAGTTTTTGCTTTGTTGATACATTGTTAATGAGGCCCGTCTTTCTTCGAATTCATGGCTAAGCCCCAACAGACATGCTATAGTTAAATGGGAGAGGAGTCAACCATGAGTGTATGCATGTCTAAGTTACTTATAATCTTGACCCATAATCAAGTACAATCACAACTGCTTATTTTAGGGCTCTTTCACAATAATGGCAAGGACTGCCACTCCTCTGCAAAAAGGAGAGGCATTTCACAGGCGAGGAAGAGGCAATATATCACCACATCAACGCCAGTTGTAAACCCCTAAATGTATCACGCAGCTGCATAGTGGTTGCTGTGTGGCCCCCATTTGCTATATTTCCTGCCGTGGCCACAGTATATGTAAGACCATGGCTGCTACATTTGCAGCTAAAGGGGGGCAGCTGGGGGTGGTAAAAGCATGGCTCAAATTAATGTGTGAATGAGCTCTTGGTTCACATCTGTGCAGCTGCAAGTTGGGCAACCCAGTTATTTCAATAGGGTGCCCTACCTGCAGAAACACAGGGAAAGAAGTTCCTGCTCTTTTTCTAAAATCACGCTGCCCCGAAAATGAACTGCGCTTGCAAATGCGTGGGGATACAAATAAAAATTAATGGCACCCCTGCAAGTCTGCTAAACAGCAGTATATGAACCAAGCAGACTTTCAAGGGAGTCTTGACTGGAAAAAACTTGAAACTCTACTCTAGTCAACAGGTTAGGTCTGGCACTAGCAAGTTTCAATGAAAGTGGCTTTAAAGTAAATTTTCAGTATAATAATAATAAAAAAAAAAGTTTACAAAATGTTTACAAATAACTCAAAGTTGAGTCCATAGGGTAAATTTTTATATGTAACATTTATGTCAAACTATCTCACATCTGAAAGATTTACCAGAACATACAAATATATGAACACATTTTTAGTACTTAAAATGGTTGTAAAGGCTGAAGGTTTTATACCTTCATGCATTCTCTGCATGAAAGTAAAAAACCTGTGTGCAGCAGTGCCCCCAATACTTACATTAGCCCCATCGTGATCCAGCAATGGTCCTCGGCTCTCCGGGGGACTCTCCCTCCCCATTGGATGAGACAGTAGTGGGAACCATTGGCCAGTGAGGAGAGAGGGTGCAGGGCCAAGCCGTGGGGCTGTGTGTGAATGGACATCCAGAACAGTGGCTTGGGAGAGAGCCTGCTTGGGTGCCCACATAGCAAGCTGCTTGCTCTGAAGGTACTCAGCAAGAGGGAGGGGCCAAGAGTGCCAACAGGGGACCTGGACTGCTCTGTGCAAAACCACTGCACAGAGCAGGTAAGGGTTTATTTTTTTTTTAAATTGCCTTTAATATCACTTTAAGTGAGAACTCCAGTCTCTTAACTGTGCATACACCCCTTTTACCTCATTGTATATAGTCAAGAAAACAATCTTCTACATACCTCTCCCATCTCTACACAAGCTGTAGAGTCGCATCCCGATTTCAGGTCTCCTATTCCATTCACTTCTTTTTCCAACTCCATTTTGCAATTTGTTTTTGAGTTCTCCATCACGTCACTTTCAAACGACTCTATAACTCTAAAGTCTAAATTGTCATGTTTCTCTAATGGCAAAACTCCAAAGGATTCTTCTTGACCGTCTAAAGAAGTCTGTGCACTTTTCTCCATGCCAGACTTCTGCAATCTAGGCAGAAACTTCCCCGATTCAAGCTCAGACTTTCCATAAAAATGACCTTCGTTTTCAGCATCTTCTTCAAGCGGTTTAAGATCATCCTGTGGATCCTCCAACACTTCTCCCTCAGAAAGAGTAGGCGCAGCTGCCTCATCTTTCTCAGATTCAAAATCAGATTCGCTTCCTACTCCTGGAGAAAGTTCAGATGCAGATATTGGGCGGAAGTGAGTACGTGGGGAGATTCTTATCGATCTATATTGTGTTCTATCCACTCCACAAATCCTTGGTTGATTTGCCTCGCCTTCTGAGTCTGAACACAAGACTTTTGGTTTGTGACTAGGACTACTGTTAATGATGCTTCCAGGTTCAAATGAACATTCAACATGAAGAACCTGTGAAAATCTATTGTTCAACTCATAAGAAGAGAAAGAGTAGCCCATTCCTGGTTGCTCAACCTGGAAATTATCACAGGCTCCAAGCAAATTTTCATGCAAAATGAAAGAAAAACCTTTGTTTGAGCTTCTATCTTCACTATGCTCATCTTCAAATGAAACAAATGGTCTCCACAACTGCCTATGGCCAGGAGCAAAACTGTTTCCTGGAGTCATAAACACATCTGTTCCTGCTATTGTAACAACGTCAGAGGCAGCACATTCCAGTAGGCTTGTTTTTTCAGGACTCTGTGGTGCCAGTGCCCACTCATCCTCACCACTGATGTTTTTGAACTCACCATAAACACCTCCAAGAATGAAGGAGTTTTCTTTCACATGGTTAATATCCCAGGGTTTGGATGGAGTTGTGTAATCGCCAGCATCAACTTTTGATGAATTACTCGAGAGAAAGGTTCGCTTTTCTGCAAGATCTTTTTGACCTTCCCAAAGATGGTACTCGGACCTCTGAACAGCCTTACTGGGCTCCTGAAAAGGATCGCATGTAGCATTAGCTTCATGACAACTAAAAACATTTACATCTAGTGGGAAGAGCTGGTCTTCCGCTCTTTCAGAATGGTGTCCGATGTTTGTCCAAATGTCTTTGATGACCCCTGAGCTGTATCCATGTGTATGATGGCCGTTTTTGCTCTCAGCCTCTATAGTGTCACATATCTCCTCATTTTCCTGTTCAAGCTGAATGCCGCAAAGTGACTCCAGCTTTGATTTTTTCCCCAAAACCAGCCCTGATTCTTCAGTCAAAGTCCTGTTCTGCATAAATGGATTATCCTGTTGAAAGGTTACGGTAACTCTAGGAATTATGTAATCGGAGTCTTCTGCATTCAACTGACTGTAATCTTCTAAACGACTGTTCAGAGCCTCTGTATCCGATCGTGTTCCATCTGAATGTGACCATGGACTGCATGTTCTAGTTGAAAGGTTTGAACACTGTTCATTTTCATCAAAGGCACTGTTTTTGGTCCATATAAGTAATCGCGACTGAGTTTTTCCAAACCTATTCATGCTGGAACAAGACTCTGATTTGCCTCTCTCTTTTAACATCTGCTCCCTGGGCAGCGAAAGTACAGAGTTACTGCATTGTACTTCAAACACTGAAAAATAAGAGCCGGTTCCATCCAAAAATAAATCTTGATTGCCTGCATGCATGTGAGCACTAAGCATTGTGCTGTCTAAAAAAGGGGAAAAGATACTGGGGGAGTCACCTCCCAAACTCTCCCCATCTGCGTCTACTGAGCTTGAGGGTGAATAGGACTCCCAAAATTGAGCTAATTTACTGTGGTCTTGCAAGAACAAATCTTCAGCACCAATAGAACTGGTTGATTCTGTCCATATTGCACTCCCCCCTTGCAAATCCTCATCTAACACTTTGCAAGATTCAGCCTCAAAATCACTTTGCAGTTTGCTCTTTTGTCGAATCATATTCAAGATTCGACTTTCTCCTTTCACCTTATCTGAGGCACCAGGATCCAACATGGATTTATCAATATCCACTTCATAGAAGTGTGTATATTCTACAGGATGAACGTCATCCAAATAGTTGTCCTCTGGAAGAGAACAGTTAGAGGTCCCTGTGGAATCACTAGCCCCTGTTATGACTGCAGGCATTTCTACAAAGTGACCCTCAATAAAGGTACCTGCTCCGAGGTATGTTTCATGAATTTTGTGGTTATTTAAATGAAGATCTTTTACAATCTCTGACAACTCTTCCATCTCTTCTGATGCGTTATGCCAATTCTGATGTCTTCTGTATGCAGTTTCTAATTTACTTTTACCATTCAAAGGAATCAAGTATTCTGTCATGGGTTCAGTATACCACAAAGGCTCCTCTCTGAATTCTGTGTCTTTTTTTCTCTCTTCAAAGACCTTTCCTTCATTGCCCAAGTCTTTCCATGCATATTCTTTTATCTGACGTTTTACTCTCTTGCAGAGTGCTTTCACAGACCCTGCACTACTACCGCTGCTAGCTGCAACATTTTTTCTCTCAACATGTTTGGACAGAGTTTTGGGGCTGGTTTTCCCCTTCTTGTTCCGGACATCCCTAATTTTTTGCCTTACTTTGACAAAACGTGTTTTTGTTTCTCCCCGATTACCACTTGAGCTTGAGCCTGCTTCGCTCGATCCAGATGACCAAGATCGAGGGCGGATTTTTCCATTTGACTTGCGCCTTACACTTTTTGATATACCAGATTTAGCATCTGTTGCTAGGTTACTAAACTTATTCTCTTTCTCGTTCTTGCCTTTTCTTTGATGGTTTTTTGCCTGTACAGTGTTAGAAGCTCCATTCTTGTTGGTCACTATGGTTTCATTCTCACTGTTGCAATTCTTTGGTGATGGAGTTTCGGTGCTTGTTTGTGGGGCAGTAGAAGATGAGGAGGAGCTAGAATAAGAGCAGATTTTTGATTTGTTCCACACGGTCATTATTTCTTGGAGGCAAACTGGCTTTTCTGACAGAGGTGGAAAAGCTTCATAATACCTGTAATTGACAAAATAAAAGCCACATAAATGGTGCATTATAGACTGTACCATTTCCACCCACCACATTCTGAAACTGTGTAATGATTACCTCCAATGAGGTTTGAATTCAATGCAACCTAAAAACTTTTTCTTGAGACAAAGGAAGTGACTTGTGAAATCCTGAGTGATGCAAACTACAGCTTCTGTCCATAGTAACCAAATGAATTTAATTTACCTAAAAGAAAGAATTAAATGTAACTGATTGCTGTGAGAAGTACTGTAGCTCAATTTTGGCTTCCGATACAAGTTTGAATGTGCACCTTTTCAACAGACTGCAGATCTGTGCAAGCATATCCTAATAGATTTGCAGCCCAACACTTAGGCTTTAAACGATAAAAGCATATAAGCTTCCCGTCATCTTAGACTGAGTCAACACCACTCACATTTCGGAAAATGCATTCACAAATAACGTTGCCACCTCCCCTTCACTTCCTCTCTCTGTCGGGGTCCCTCAAGGCTCTGTCCTCGGACCCCTCCTCCATCTACACCTCCTCTCTTGGCCAATTGATAAACTCACATGGCTTCAACTACCATCTCTATGCCGACGACACACAAATCTCTCTACCCCTCACCCCATCAGTCGCAGATCGGATCACCAGCCTACTAAGTGACATATTGGACTGGATGTCACTCCACTTCCTCAAACTCAACCTTTCCAAAACTGAGCTTCTAGTATTCCCCCCAGCCTGTGCCGCCCCCCCCCCCCCCAACTTCTCCATCAATATCAACAACACTACCATCAGTCCCATCCCTCACACCAGGGTACTAGGTGTAATCCTAGACTCCAATCTGTCCTTTCAGCCTCAGGTCCAATCACTGACAAACTCATGTAGATTTCACCTCCGCAACATCTCCAAGATACGACTGTTCCTAACCTCGGAAACCACGAAGCAACTCATCCACTCCCTTATTATATCACGACTTGACTATTGTAACTCCCTCCTCACTGGCCTACCTCATCGCAGGCTATCCCCACTCCAGTCCATCATGAACACTGCTGCCAGACTCAGACTCATTCACCTTACTAACCGTTCTGTATCTGCCACCCCTCTCTGCCAATCCCTCCACTGGCTTCCAATTGCCCAGCGGATAAAATTCAAAACACTAACACTGACGTACAAAGCTGTTCATAACACTGCCCCTAACTACATCACCGACCTGGTCTCTAAATACCACCCAAACCGTACTCTCCGCTCCTCGCAAGACCTCTAGCTCCTTGTCTCCTCTCCCATGCTGGTCTCCAGGATTTCTCCTTCACCCATCCTCTGGAACTCCCTCCAAGCTATCAGGCTCCCACCCTGCTCACTTTTAGGTCTAAAAACTCATCTCTTTAGGAAGCCTACCCTGACCCCGGCTAACTACTGGAATCCCCTACTCCCCCCAACCACTCCATCCCCCACAGCTTTACCTTTTGTACCATATCCCCTCCCTCCTAGATTGTAAGCTCCAAAGAGCAGGGCCCTCTAATCCTTCTTGTATTGAACTGTATTGTTACTGTATGTCTCCCGCCATAATGTAAAGCGCTGAGCAACTGTATATAGTTTATTATTAAAATGTATCTAGTTTCAAATGCCTGAATTTAACATTGTATCAGCCTCCTGCGATCCCCTATACAGCAGCACCCAGATTTGCAGAGGGAGAGATAGCACTGGAAGCCAAAAATGTGTACTCCATGAAAGTTTTCTGACAAACAGCAAGCTGACAGGAGGAGATAGCAAAAGATCACCTCAGTCTGCTGCAGCTCCTTCACTGTGCAATCAAAAGGCAGGTGAAGGAAGTATCAACAGTTCACGTTTTAAACTGGGATGACCTGTCCTGAATTTTGGTCTGTGCGAGCCCGTTTGTTCAACAGAAGTCAAACGACACCCGTGAAAGAATACAATAGCAGGATAGGAGAGATCCATACGTGCATATCACTTGTGTGGATGTTTGGATCTGAGTTTTTTTGTTCAAAAAATATATAACTGTATACTCTAACTCCAGATTGTTTTCTATTTTAAAGTTTGTTTAGGCCATACTGGACCATCAAGCTATTCCTACACTAAAAAATGTGGCCGCTGACAAGGTGGTATAAACTGTATAGAGTGCCGTGTACTAGCAACGGTACCAGGACTTCCCAGAACAAAATGGAAAGGGGCTGAGCACTGCTAAACCATTCACAGGAAGCTTTATATTTTCAGGAATACAAGGCTCTCTAAATTGGCTGAAGTGGAGAGGAAGGTGGAAAACATCATGACCTCCAACTCTAGCCAGTCAGAGAAAGCCTATTCAGTCACAAAATACAAAGCCGCCTGTGAATGGCTGAGCAGTGCTCAGTTCAATTTGCTTTAAATTTCGGTAAGGCAAGGAAATCCTTGTACCACTGCTGGAACACAGCACTGTATACTGTGTGCAGCTGGTGCTACAAACAGTTTATTCAATGCAAACAGCAGCCAAATATTAGTAAAGGAACACTTTAAAATGACTTTAAACATGGAATTAGGCTCTGAAATAAAACGTGGTGACATACTCCTTGTTGTGGTGTCTGGAAGGGCTGTGCAAATATCAGAATTAAATTCCTTAGCAGGTAAACAGCTCCCACATGTGTATTTCATTAGCTCTTTAGAGGTTTGCCTAGAGTTCAGCAAATATAACAGTATCAACCATCTCATCACTGTCCACCACATCTCCAAGCTTGTTTTCATCTTTCATCATGACGTGTTTGGGGTTATTTTTTCCTCATGTTTAATCATTTTTGCATATTACCTGCCGTTGATTATAATACAAACCTCACTTAGGATATACATTTTTTTTTCAAAGATCTGTTTTAAGAGGTTTAATGGATATTTACATTTCAGCCTGATCCTTTCTTGCTAGAGATGATGTAGCTTCTGGTGACAGCAATCCATCTACAGTCTTGCTAGTCTTCTCATCTGCAAAATTTTATTATATAGGTCAGTAACATGCATATATATCCACAGGCTACAAAAGCAGATACCTGGAGGACTGTGTAAATGTTGGCTCACACAGGGGCGGGATGCCTAGTGTTTTGTAACTTGTGCCATAAACACTGCATGGGAAGTGGGGTGCACTTGTGGAAGAACCTGAAATGAATGCAACAGTGCGGCCTGAACACCAAGTTTAGATTGGAGAGGCCTGCTAGGTAGGTGGAAAGTATTGATTAAGGATCTTCTCTGCAGGGGAATATTAACTTTAGCCACAAAGTCACTTTACGGCACAATTACATTTGTGCATGACAAGATATACAGATTAAATATGAAGGTCACTGTTGCTTTATTTTTTTTATTTTCTTGAAACAAATATATCCTCAAAAACATAAGTAGAAAGTTTCATAGTCACTGACTGTGCTGGTAATCTACGCTGCATGGAGGAGAAAATTCTGGGTGAACAATATTTAAAAGATGAAACTTTCGTGTCAGAATTCAGTTTTCTTGTTGCACTTTGGTTACTCCCTCCAATCCCTGTGTCATTATAGGACTAGAAGTATTGCCATAAAGGCTAGTGGATGGAACCCCTAAGTGTAGCACAACATTAGTAGCAGCACATTAAGTTTAGTGTATTCAGAGAATTTTTCAGTTATTTTTCTTTAATAGTGACATCTTGTACGTCTCTTCAGTATCAAAGTGAAAGGAAAAAAAAAAAACAAAAAAAAAAAAAAAAAAAAAAAGCAAAAAAACAGTGCTGCCGAAGGATAATCTTACAATAAAATAGCTTTCTCTATCTGCCAGCAATATTCTTGCAATAGTACATTAAGCGGCGCATGTATACTTGAGTGTACAATTGCAACAAGTCTTGGGTAACAGGAATTACCTCCCTGAAGCATGCATGGTTGATATGAGAGGCTGGCCAATCAAGGGGGCTGAAAAAACTGGACCCAAAAGAAGACTAAAAATGTCTGCGGTGCCAATGGAGTGATAAAAACGGAAAGCAAAGTGATTGTTGCATCACTAGAGGGGGCTTTTGGGAGGCAAGTGTGCCATAGGGTGCTTGACTTACTATGACTGGTCCTGCTTGCACTACTTGTTTCTTATTTAAAAATGCATTCACTTTAAAGCAGATATCCAGATTATATGAAAGGGAATCAGATAGAATATAGTAGAAGCCAGTGCTGACTTGTTTTTTTGAAAAACATTCTAAATCTGCATTCACTACCTTAAGAGTAACTGAAACAAGCAAGCAGAGTTCAGATTTTACTGTATGCATGTTCCATTTCACTACACAGTGACACGGATCAGGATGACTTCTCCAAAGACCACATCATTAAAGCATCATTAACCCCTTCCATACCGGGCACTTTTACCCCCTTCCTGCCCAGGCCAAATTTTCAGGTTTCTGCGCTCTCACGCTTTGAATGACAATTGCGCGGTCATACAACATTGTTCCCAAACTAAAATTTTATCATTTTCTTCACACAACTAGAGCTTTCTTTTGGTGGTATTTAATCACCGCTGGGGTTTTTATTTTTTGCTAAATAAAAAAAAGACCAAAAATTTGGGGGAAAAAAGACAAAAAACAAAAAAAAAAAAAAAAAAAAAAAACGTTTTGTTTCTGTTATAAAAGTGTGCAAATAATTGTTCTTCATAAATTTAGGCCGAGATGTATTCTGCTACATGTCTTTGGTGAAAATAACCCAAATTAGTATTTATTATTTAGTCTGTAGGAAAGTTAGAGTTCACAGACTATGGGATATATCTGAAAATTGATCAATCCCGAAGTACTGACAGCCAATCTAATTTCTTGAGGTCCAAAAATGTCAGAACAGTACAGATATCCCCCAAATTACCACTTTTTGCAAAGTAGACAGTCCAACGTACTTCATAAGAGGCATGGCGAGTTTTTTGAAGTTGTAATTTTTTTGTCAATTTTTCAGAAGAAAAAAAATGATTTTCACTATTTATTTTTTTTTTTTTAACATACTGTCACCAGTGCAGTACAGTTTGATCATATAACTGGAATGGCGGTGATCAGGGACACTGACTGGTGACAGTACGAAAAAAAAAAAAAAATTTATAATTTTTTTTTTAATTTTTTACTAAATTTCTCTAAGATTTTTCTTTTCATATTTCACTATGACCAAAGTAGTACAATGTTACCATAGTAACATTGTACTACTTTGGGGAATTTTTTTTTTTTTTTTTACACAATTTGCTTATAGCAAAGAATTACTTTGCTAAAAGCAAGCATTTACCTGAATGAAATCGATTCATTCAGGATTTTTTTTTTTTCCTTAACTGTGATTTGGCCACAGCTAATCACGACACAGCTGGGGTGTGATTGGCCCAGCTTGTTCATGTGATCGCTGTGACCATTCACAGCTAGCCACACTTGTATACAATGGATGGCATGATAGGAAGCCATCCATTGTATACAACTGTCATGTGACCTGCTGTGATTGGTCAAAGCAGGTCACATGGTATTCGAGACAGATCGCGCCACTGCGCGGCTCTGCGGGCATGCAAACCATGCATGCCCGAAAGGACGCCGTTTGGCGTCCACCTGGAGCGGTGAGGGTTTTTGCCAGCTGCCATTTGGCCATAGGCCGGGCAGGAACCGGTTAAATTTGCTTTGAATCTAGAAGCCATAATAAAATTAGGAGATGGTTTTTTAAATCGGCTACCCAGCACCCAAAACTGTATGTTCAGGGCATCAGGCAATGAATTGCTCAACGCCTGGTGCTAGGCCCGGACTGGGACAGAAAAAAAGCTAGAGCATTTTAGACTGAGCAGCCCAGGCTCTGCTGCCATTTTCGCCTCATGCCAAAACAAGGCATGAAACAGACCTGGAGCCTGCCCCTCTGTACCCTAGACGGCATAATGAATGAGAACGTGGGGACATAAGCCATGTAGCCAATCCACACTATCGATTCCTTGGAATGCTTGTGTTAGGTGGTCTGCCCCCTTGCTGGTGATTGGACAAGCCCTGAAGCCATACAAGCTGTAGCGGTCAGTGTCTCTTGCACATGCATGGTGATATCTCTAAGACAGCTCGTGTTTGTGTACTGTGTCAAGCTTGTGTGCTGTCCGCCATTTCCCTGCATGGGAAACAGAAGGAGATCTCCAAGTACGAGTCGCCATAGACTGTGTATGCCATGAATTGGAGTGTGAGGCTGGACAAGAGGTTCCAGTTGGCTCTGGGCAGTTTTGTGGAGGAATACAATAATGAGAGAGATCAAGGATCTATAAAAAGTGACATTAAAAACTGGACCCCACCCCATCTCCCCATGTCCTGCGATCCCCCGCTGTCGGGCATCGGGACACTGCTTCTCCGGGGATTTAAAGTCCCTGCAGCTCTCTCTCCTCCCAACACTGACAGGATGGCTAGATGGATTCTGATTGGCCAGCGCCGTCCATGTGATGGTGCTAGCTAATTAGAACGCCCTTCGTTTGTACACACAGAGGTATGGACAGGCGATTAAGCCGTGGGGGATTTCAAATCCCTAGATTAGCGAAGCAGTGTCCCTGCGCCTGAAAGTGGAGAAAAAGCCCAGGTGCCAGGAAGCAATTTCTATTTGCCATGGTGACCTAGTACGTGGGATTTGAGCCCTGCGTTAAAGGGTTGTCAGCAATGGCAACTCCCCATTCAGATCTTCATGCATACATTTTGAAAATCCAGTAATACATAATTTTGCATTTAAGCTCTCCCTGTGGGCAGAGCCTATGCACCAAGTTGAACCTTTTTATTCCAGCATTCAGCCTTTATACATTACTTACAAGTCTACCAGTTGTAGAAATGTTTCAATGGCTATATGTTTGGGAACCTTCTGAGTTGAGGAAGTTGCAGGCAAAAACAAAAAAGTTAAAATGCAGTTTTAAAAATGCCCAAACTATACAAAGGCTAGCTAAATATCCATGACCTTTACCTTTATTTGTCATCAGCTGTTCACCTTGGCTACTCTGGAGATCTTTCAGTTTGGAGCAAAGCTCTTCAACTAAGGTTTCAATTCCAGAACTCTGCAAAACATAATGTGAGAATTTATGACTAAAATACCAAAACTACACAATCAATTACAAACCGTGCTGTGTGTGCCGAGATGTAAAATCCTGTTACTGGGATTCACTAGTAGTTATTTATACTAAAAGAAATGATTTCCCTTTAGCATCTGTAGTTGGACAAACAACAGTATTCAGTAGACTAACAGTCAAATACAAGCATTCTTTGTGAGCTTCAAGCTGAAGAAACAGCAAAAAAAAAAAATCTGCACAATGAGCAATTGATAGAAATTGATGTTGTGGGTAGATAACTAAAGTCCAATATATAAATATTGGACACATACATAGACATGAGCATGCAAAACCATTTCCAATCTTTCAAGTTGTAAATCAACTAACTAGACTGAAGTGCTTTCAGGTAACACTGTGCAGCATGGCAAGTGATGTATTATATTGTAGGTGCCAAACATGCATCGTAAGAGCACAAGATTTAACTATGTGAAAGTAGTGTGAATACCAATATATCTACTGCCAACACCACACTGCTGCAATTATAAAATGACTAAGCAAAAAATCACGAACGCCATGACACTTAAGATGAGCTCTGACATTTTACAATATCAGTACCACACAACAGACGTCAGCTCAGGAACTATTAAATCTTTAATTATTCACCCCAAAGCAGACGAGACACCACTGCAACATCCTGTAACAAATGAAGGATCATTACACTAGTAACAGCCAATTCAGTTTGCCACCTTCTTACCATAGCTCAAGGAGTGAAGTTTCGGAAACAGATTATTTGTTCCTGTATCACGCACGTCTTACACCAGCTGACATTCTGCATGCTGTTGTGCTGAGCGGTACATAGTAGGCAATGGCTAGGGGAGGGTTGAAGGGGGGGGAAAGCTCACTGTGTAAAAAACACCAGAGATCACACTGGTATCTTGCTGGAAAAACAGTTGAAAACTGAACGATCAAGCTTTCAAAAGGCAACGCAAGTCCATTGAATAGTTCATTTGGGCACCTGAAAGTACCAAGCACATTAACATTCCAGCCCCTTCTGCAATAATGGTCAACGAGACGAGTACGGAGGGACAGTTTATCCTCAACAAAAGAGTGTGACCAATTATTCCATTCAATCTACACTGTATGAGAAACCTCCAGCTGCCGAAAAAGAATATCCAAAACAGAACAAAGCTTGTTCTAGGATCCTTGAGACTGGTTCAGGATATCCCAGGAAAATGGAGAGTTGTACTATGGACGAAGCAAGAACACTGACAGACACCTCCCACAATTCCAGCTACTGACAAACTCCTCTCTGAAGACCTTCACTGACTAAAAAATATTTGGTATAAGGTTACATACAGAGGGAGGCAACAGCTCTGCAAACACAAATTTGTTATCTGCGACTCTTGGTTCCTAAGCCAGCAGAAATGTTTAGTAACCAGATTCTCAAGAACATTAATACATTTACACTGTCACATTTAAAAAAAAAAAACAAACACAAAAAAAAAAAAAAAACCCTCCAGTAGTTACACTTGTGAAGTGCAACGTAGTAAAACAGACCACAGACGAGTTGAAAACCAAGCAACAATTCTGGTCGATCATTAGATCATTCGTTTTTAGCATAATTTGTGTGCCAGCTGCAACACGTGGATTTTTGTGTCTGATCCAACATACTTGATTTTTTTTTCCCTTGGAAAAGGAAACAAAAAACTGATGGCACAATCGTATGCTTCATTTTTCAATCGACAGGAAGTTCGATTTTTAACTAGTCTATGGATGGACAAGTTTTCAAGAATACAGTATCCATATACAGTTTTTCTATCTATATAGTTAAAATTCCCGTCATCTTTTTAACATTCTCCTACTGGGGGCTGTTTTCCCCCACCCTCAGAGAAGAGGAGCAGGAACCCCCCCATTCCGAGTCACCCTTTGTCTGCCACCTACCCACCTCTGAGCATCACCCCTTGGTTTCACCCCCTACACACCTCCCAGTACTGCCCCTTTTAGAGAAAATAGAACCAAGTATCATTTTGTGGAGGAATTTGTTAATGATCACAAGAAAAGCAGTAAAATAGGTCCCCTGCAGTCAACACCACACTCCCCAGCAGCCAGCAACAAAAGACCCCTGCCCTCAATAGATCCCTCCTCCAATAGATCTCCTACAGCAACAATAGATCCCAAGAAGCTAACATCAGTCTACCCACAAGCACACCTTGCCATTACATACATTCAGTGCTGGAACTGCATTCCCGTGTTCCTGCTAGAGGAAAAAAAAAAAAAAGCCCTGTTCCTATTTATATTTTTCCTCTCGTGGTGAATTAAACGAAAAAAAAAAAAAAAAAAAAAAAAAAAAAAAAAAAGAAGAAGAAGGTTTTCCAAACAATGGTTATTCTCTGTGCTTGGTAAAACCATGTAATGACATTTCCCTTCCTCCTTTTGACATTCTTTGAAATGTGAGAGGTTTCAACTCTTCCCCATATTCTCTTTAAGAGATCTGACACCGCTTCCTGTCCTTGTGTAACAAACAATTCTCCAGTAAAACACAGATTTTGCTTTTAGAGACCGTGAGCGCACATTTGACAGTTACTGAAGTGAGGTACTGTGTGAAATGTGAAGATTTTTAGCAAGGCAGGGGCAAAAAGGTCAAAACACAAAAAAGAGACAGAAGATCTTTCCAAACAGCCAGAATTCAACTATTGATTCTGGTTACAAATTATTTTGCTGTTTGCCATAGTATGTGCACATTGCAGAAACTGAAAATGAATGCATTTATGCTTTCTAGCAATTGGCATCATCATTTTGATTAATGGCAAATTAAAGAAAAGGGAACATGGAGTTTGTGCTGGGGACAGGCAGGCACAGTGCATCAGATTGCTTTTCCTGGAATGTGGGCTGTCGCAGTGAAGGATTAAGCAGCTGTTGTGTGCTTGTCAGCTGCTCAGCCACGTGAGGTAAGGCACAGGGTGATTCACCCAACGCAATCATTGCACCACATATTTACACTTTAAAATGTTAAAATATAAATGAAACCTTCAATATACAATCTATATGAAATAAGCGTCAACATTTACTATTTTCTTTTTTTAATTAAAATGCACACGCCAATCAAGGATGAATTTAGAGACAGCAAGGCATGTACTAAAATAAATCTGAAAGAACACTGCTTAGGGAAAAGCAATCGGTTGTAAAAGGGGAGAAAAGATAATGAGGAGAGGCATTCTGCTGGAAGGTGAGCAGCAGGTTCTCCTCCTTCCCACGTTTATATAAAAAAACTGTACTGGTGGAATTCGCTCTTAGCAAAAATAAACAAAAAATAAAATAAAAAACACATGTTGGGCTTTGTAGCCCGACTGTGAAAAGCATAGCTCTTGAACGCCTTACCCAGAACATGCATCTCAATGTCTGCAAACAACCCACTGACAGAATCACATGACAGCGCTTGGCTAAAGGTTTGAGCTAAAAATAGCCTGAACAGCTTCAAGTTTAAAGCGGAAGAACAGCAATCTGGAGCTGATGTAAAACCACCAAAACAGCAGAAAGATGCTTGTAATGAAGGGGGGGGGGGGATTTTTAGTCCCCGTTAGCCATGGTGACAAATGTTAAATCACTTTATACTTCGTAACTATTTTTAGCATCAGCTAACAAACCAGATGGTCTGCGTCAGCTAGGAAGGCAGAGCAGAATGGGAATGTTCATTGATCTCTAAAATGCCAGTTACTTGCCATTGTTGAAGAGCCATACACAGAAGACTAGTCCAGTGATGGAATGCAAGTCATTTGCCTATTCTTACCTGCAAACCTCTCGACTAAGCCTGGCCATACATTATACAATTTTCTTGTACAGGTTTCCTTTAGATTTACCAAAACAATATGAGGTCAAACCTAAAACACTTAATTTGGATGCAGTCTGGCAGGCCCTTGCACTACATAGATAAAATATAAAGGACATTTGAACAAGAAAATTGTATGCCCAGCTTTAGCCGGTTTGCACAGTCTCTAGGTAGCCTGCTCCCCCTTTAATACAAATGATGATCCAGCATCCACTTGCACCAAGACCATTTACACATCTCCGATGCACTGAGGTAACCCATCATTGTGAATGGCACCCCAAAGCACTAAGGCAACACACACAACACTACCATGCATTGTGGTGCACTGCATTGGAAAAACTGCTGCGTGTACTTATTTGTTCTAGTGTAAGCAGCCCATTCAAAATGAATAGGCAGGCTTAAAGCAAAGTACATTAGCACATGCAGTGACACACAAGTTAGGCAAACCATGAATGAGCCCTAAGTTGGGAGTTTGCATGTTCCCCCTGTGCGGGTTTCCTCCCACACTCAAAAGACAAGTTGGTAGGTTAATTGGATCCTATCTAAATTGTTCCTAGTATGTATGAATGGGAGTTGGGGACCTCAGACTGTAAGCTCTTTGAGGGTTAGTGAGAGAGAGAGTAGCGGTGTGAATTGACGGCGCTACACAGGTATCTGTAATGAAAATAAACAAAAAAACTTTTCTTTATATGAACACAAGCACTTGTCAATTTTAAGCATTACTTATTGCACTGTAGTAAAACCTATTTATCAAAGCAAACAAACAAAGTTGACCATTTCTTAGGGCCCATTCACATCTCTGCATGTGTTATATTTTAGTATAAAATGGCAAAAGCAATGCACATATACTCATGTATAAATTAGAATATTGAGAATATATGGTTTGAATATCTGAACAGGGGGAAAAAAAAAATTTACAAAACAAATCCCCCAGGAAAGCACCTTAGTGTGACAATGGGAACTGAATGTACAAAAACAAGAAACAGACATAAGCATGCCTGCTGTCAGGTCTTGCAAAACAAACATCTTTCTCCACAGAGAAGTCACACTCTATGCTTGTCTGGGTGTCCCAGACAATCAGACTAATCTATGGATAGCAGGTAAACAGACAGAATAGCAATATTTTTGGCTCCTCTGCCGTGAGCCCCTACACCTCCCTGAAGTGGCCATATATGTGTCATGA